TTTATTTGAAATTTGTTTGTAATTATCATTACTACTTAGCTGTTAGAATAATTAAATTAATCTACCTATTAAATTAAGGTATTTAACCCTTGCTCAGAAAGTAGTTCAGGCACGCATGTACGCACAAGCTTTGACTATCATTATGGTACTAATGACAGCAGGTTTATCTATGTCTCCCAAACAGCCAAAAAAAATACCTGCTGGATCAGACTACTGGAAAGAAATGGTTGAAGCTGAAGAAAGAAAAATGAACAAAGTCCAATAAATTATAGAACATATTCAAGAATTGTCTAATTTATTTATTGAAAAATAATTTTCTTTACAAGTTTCAAATATCAAAACGCGAACAATATTATGTTCATTTATATATGAATCCTAAACAAATGTGTAAATATCCGGTTATGATTATGATAAAGAACATTAATTAAATCTTAAACGGATAAATAATTTTATTACGGTATAAAGAAACAAATAAAACTATAGTGAATGATGCCTTAATTATTTATCGCTAAGTACTTAAAGAGAAGAATAAGCTCGCAGCGGCGTCAACATTTCCATTTGTAGCATCTAATAATCTGATGGCTTCGTCCCTTGGGATTCCCATAGAAGTCAGAGTCATAATATGTTCTTCGGGATATTGGGATTGCGATGCTATTTATTGTATTTATGTTACATGTATTAGATAATGAAAAAAAAGATATAAAAGAATACTATTTATCATACCTGGTGGTGGTGAAGAGTTCGAAGAGACAGGTGGAATAACGGTTGTACTTGAAGTGGCCGAAGATTCAGCCTGCGTATTTGTTGAAGTCGCGTTGCTATTCGCATTTTGTAAATTATTATCCTGTACCCTCATCCGTGCTCTTTCCGGCAATTCATGTTCAGCCAGAAAAGGAATTGCCACATCGTTGATGATTAATGCTTTCCTCTTCAGATCAATACATGCCTACAAATTATTTTCAACGACAAATTTTGTCTTTAGATTAATTAATAGATGTTTCAATATAACTTATATTAAGATTTAATGTTATAAACTGACCTGGTGGCACATTAACATGTCCAGTCCGAATAATACGTCTTCGCTGCCCTGCGTACAAATCAAATATCAATATAAGTTATAAATTCCATATGTTCAACCAATTTACGCATCGTACATAGCGTTGGTGGTAAATAGCGTATAAAAAATTAATTAACTCTCGCAATATCCTGTCGTTATGACGGGTTCTCAACTAATATAAATATTAATAATTTTTATTTTACAAACCTCCATAATCAAAAATGAGCACTCCAACAATAAATTTCCAGCGTGGATTTCAGCTTCGATGTAATGGACGCGACCCACAATTTTGGCAGTTCCGGCTCCTATAGCAAGTCCTTCATATCGTTGATCAATCAGCCTCATAAGTCTATATTACGCAATAATTTAATTCTATTTAATAAATTGTAATGAATATTTGATCGATAAATGTTTAATAAACAATATAAAATTTTCACCCGCATTTTTCCGCACATTGAGGACTCACTTGATAGATGAGAATAATTTTAGTGCAAGGATTATCATAAACCTAATTAAAATTGAAGATTATATTCGCACTTACTAATAGTACTTTGAGCTCCAGAATCTACAAAAGCTTTGATCGGATGTCCGTTGACTTCAATGTCAATGTATAACATTACTACCTGGATAGAAATTTTAATCAAATTAAACCATTTCAATAAGCGTAGGTAATACTTTAAATAAAGTAAATGGTCATTTACTCGAGCGAAAAATTGTGGAATTCTTTCTAAAGCAGTTTGCCAATTTTTCTCAACATTTTGCATTCTTATTTCTTCCTCGATCCTTCGTTGGCCTTCGATATTTAGAGGATCAGCATTGTGGATATTCTAGGAATATATTAGAATGTTTAATATAATGCGCTATCATTTTCATTGTCTAACCAATTATTTTAGTAAAACCGTACGATCTGTTGCCTACTACGTTGGTCCATTTGACGAAACAATGCGGCAAATTGAGCTGGACCATTAAACGCCGCATTAAATAATTCAGGTTGATTCTGCAAAATCATAAAAATAAGCAATTTTTTTTAAAATATTGATATATTAGTGTTATTATTAACAATAGGAAACTCACCTGAAGCAATCGTCCTGAAATTTGAGGCTCATTCAATATTTGCTGCCGCATTAGTTCTATTTCTGGTGCTCCGCTAAATGATTCAATAAATTTATTTGATAAGTGGTTGGTTTACTTGACTGGAATAATAACCTAGATATGAAACTCGATTTACTCTCTAGGTATAATTTGAGAAGGTTTTTTTGTAAGTAATAACATATCATTTTCAATCACGCCATATTGTTCAAGAGTTTTTTTTGGATCTGTTAGTTCTTGACCATGGTAAGAAAGAATTTGATCGGCAGGTGGTATTTCTGTCTAATGTAGTATGATATAGGAGAATGTTAAGGTCAAATTTAACAATGTAGCAGAGCAACAAGGGTACTCGAACCTCAGATTCAATTAAAGCCTTTAGATTTTCTAATTCGATTTGAGAATCCACCTCTATATTATGGATTACACCCGCTGCGGTGGCGACTGCGATTTTCATTCTTCACAAGAGAGCGACATAATAAGAACTCACGTCGTGATACATTAACCAATATAAATGCAATAACACCAACTAAGTGTACTGTACATACTTCAAAAAAGTATACAGTACTTGGTGTTCTTCAATAAAGTAAAAAGGTGCGATGTTGGATGTTAGAATGTTGATTTCGAACCGCGATTGTTTCGCTATTTCCTTCACAAGCTCTGTAAATGTAGTTAGAATGTAGCATAATGGCTCCGTTTTATATGTTGTGAAATAGTTACACAGTTCGATACAATCGTTTACTTTAGGACTGTGTAGTTTTAATAATGCCTTATTAAGCCAATTGCTATTTTAGTGTTATTAATGAATAGTTCACATTGTTTGATCGCGGAGATTGTCAAAAATACTCGCGCTATTTCGTATAATCGAAGATATCCGAAATGTAGTGGCATTATAACTTAGTGTTACAAGTCAACGGCTTACATTACGGCTTTCAGATTCATATATACATTTTTTTGTTCGGAATTTAGCATTAGCCAGCCGATATTATGCTGCCTTAGCCAGTTGATACCGTATTTTCGCGAAACAACGGGCATGGGCTTCATCCAATTAAAATAA